ATTGGATGGGAACTTCACCGAGATAAGACATGGTGTCATCATCAGCATCTCCCGGGTTTTAATGATTCACAAAAACTACTGCAGCAAAGATGTGTACATGAAAACCTTTGTAAGTCTTACAGTGAATCAGAACTCTTAGAAATCAGGACAATCTCTTATTTAGTATGGTCTCAGTTGCAAATTTCTAAGAGTATACACAAGATTAAGGTTAGGTTTATGGGTGAAGTTAGTATTAGTACCTTCTCTTACAACATAATTTGTATGAAACTGAAAAAGTTCCAACCACACCACCATCATTTGATTACATTTTTTTAATGAGGTCAGGTTCTTTTTTCGTTTTAAATATAGTTAATAAAGAAAGCCAAAGAACTAGAACGTCAAAATCAAAATGGAACGAGTATGTTTTTTTTTTTTCATGGAAACATAATTGAGTAAGAGTTATAGTTAAGTACAGGTTTTGGTTATAATCAGGTAAAGTGTATCATAAACTGTCACTTAAATATAGTAACAAAGTAGAGTTACATATTTTCACCTCTGCAACTACTGATTCTCCACATGCTGTAGTTTTCCTCATAATGTTGTCATAGAAATTGTCATTAATTAGAAATTCACCAGCTATTTGAATAAAAATACCTAATGTTGCTTGTTTGATCTTCACACAGGGAAGGTGTGGTCCATGCGACTCAGCTCCCAGATGCACATCGAACGGCAAGCCTGTAAGATAACACCCCTCTGTTCCACATCCCATGCTTCATTAGTACATACATAGCCTTTGTTCTTAGTTCTCCGGTCTTAGGGGACTGTGTGCTTCCCACTGCTGTCTCAGTCTCAACACACCTGCGTCTGCTGCTAATTATCAGGCCTTCATGGATGGAATCAGGCAGATTAGTAAAAGGAACACACAGTTCAGCAGTCCCAAAGGACAGAAACTGAACACTTTACACACAGCTGAGTCATTATAGGCTGCTTCTGCCTTAGTAACTCAGTGCTGTTCATGTGTGATTATTAATTTATTTAGTAAATAACATTTTATTCAGTAAATAACATTATCTAAACACTGCAATTATGTTTTATCCAAAATGCATCATCAGTTTACATCTGATTCCGTAATTACACCTATAATTGCACTTACACTCACTGTCCTACTATTTAGGTGTACTGCCACATCCATAAATGGAAAGGGACCACCATGGGACCACCAATAAGCAGATATTATTTGGGTGGTGAAGTGCTAGGTTGAGAACAACTGTACAAGTAGCAAGCATGTCCATAGATATTGCGTATTTTGCTCATTCTGAGGGTTAAGTGTTTTGCTTAAGGACCTACCCAAGTGAGCTTGGTGGCACAGTGATTTAAACTCATAGCAATCCAATCAGTAGGTCAAAGCCTTAACCACAGAGCCACCCTGTCTGATACGCAATATTGGTATTAACTCATTATTATGTGTGCATAACTCAGCTCTGAATACAGGCCTACACATGCACACCTACAGTATGGAGCAACAAGGTAGGTCCAGCAATACTGCTGTGCCTGATATTCTTATACCAGCACCACACCCATAGATACAGTATATATATAGAGAGATATTTTAGAGTCCTAGATAGCTGACAGAGTGTGTACTTTGATGATTTTAATGGTCCCATCAAACCATTCTGTGTTAAGTCTAGAAACTGTTGTGTGTGAAAATCCCAGGAGATCAGTAGTTTCTGAAATACTTAAACCAGCCCGTCTGGTAGCAACAAACATGCCACGGTTAAAGTCACAGAGATAACATTTTTCCCCATTCTGATGTTTGATGTGAAAATTAACTGAAGCTCTTGACCTGATTTTATGCATTGTGCTGCTGCCACATGATTGGCTGATTGGATAACTGCATAAATGAGCAGTTATACTGGTGTTCCTATTAAAGTGACCGGTGAGTGTATATTTGTTTAACATGCATTATTAAACAATCTCCCAGTCAGCGCAACACACATCCAACACGTTTTCTTTTTATTGCAGACCCCATTCATAGGCATATCCCTTAACACCCTCTGAAAATTTTGTTTTAGGCTTGTAAGATCAGTCAGGTTATCCTATGCTTTTGTGTTCTATAATCCATAGCCACACATACCAGTGGATATTCATGAATGTCCACCATGTGCACACATTCACAATCACCAAGCAACATGCTTTCTCCATTGCTCTGCCTTGAACCAGGCTTTAGTGGACTGAATTTGCTTACAACCAGAATCCACCAAGGTCTGATGTGTATCCATTTGAATACACAGGTATTCAGAATGCTCCAGCTTGACTGGGGGAGGGACTGCAGCACTCTTTTTTTTGTTGATTTACATTTGCTCATTTATCTGATGCCTTTTCCCAAAGCAACTTTCAAGTGAGACAGGGTACAGCTGAGCAGTTGAGGGTCTTGCTCAAGGACCCAACAGTGGCAGCACTGGGATTTGAACTCAGAAGCTTCCGATCAGTAACCTAAAAGCCACCAATTCCCTTGAGCTTCAGCCAAGCACAGCATCATTTGCAATATATCTGTCTCTCACTGGTCACAGGCAGCCTGCTGAAAAAAACAGATGCATAACTAGGCTGCTGATGACAAAACAGGTTTACACCATTCCTAATTGTCTGTTCATTCTCTCAGACCCCTCCTTCCTACCACAACCGACACAACTTTTACTTGCACATGAAATCACAGAACTTAAATTGGGCATTGTTGCCAAAAAAAAAAAAAAAAAAAAAAAAAAAGACACTATTTTGTTTATATTTACATTTTTTCTGGATATACTCACATTGGGCTGTATTTAGAGGTGGCGACTTAAGTGGGCAACTAAAGTCCTGTTAGTACACCTCAGAGGTGTAGCGGTGCCAGATATGGGATTTTTTAATAGCGTCTAGACCTGGGTTGTCAAATTCTGCGTGGGCCACATCAGCATTTTTGTAAGCCCTTGAAGCATCATATACTATGCCTATTCATTTTTAATGTATTATTATCTATTCTATCCATTACCACCAATAACCTAGGCTCTGAAAGTACAATAGGACGAAAGGATTAACAGCGCTAACCGAAACTACTCAACTGTATGTATAACATCGTAAAGACATTTATAAAAGGTCAAAGAAGTCATCATAATAATTCCATATTTAACTGCACAAATGAATGCATTCCTTAATTTATTTGATCATATTTGCCTGCTATGAATCCTAGACAGTGTGAAAATGTTGAGTAATAGGTACTATGGGCGTTTCAGTAATATTTTTGGAAGTTCATGCCATGTTTGATTCAAGGATTAGACATACCTTTGCCTTTAAGCCTAAAAAAACTACAGGGATAGAAAATGCAGACTGATGAAGTGCAGCTATCAGAGGTAATAAAAGCAAGCAATAATTTAACAATAAGAAAATAAAAAGATGAATATGATATATGAATGAGAAGATGGCAAGCATTGAAATAGTGGGACTCTTGTCATGTATGTTGCCAATATGTTGTGCATGAATAGTCACTGCAAATGTGATTTAATTTAACAATAAGATTTCCACCCTTATTATTCATCAGCTTATAAACTAGCACATGATCCAACATATCCTATCCTATCATGCACCTACAGTTAATTGCGGTCATTAGGCTATTTTATCATGCTTGTAATTTGCTATTTTGAGTTTTGAGTAAAATGAATAAAATAATATCATTAATGACTGACCAAGCACTCATCTGCTTCACTTAATTATGCACACAGCTCCTCTCTGAGGAGAGGACAGTTTTGTCTAATAATAAACATTTATTTGACATTTTGTAGAGGGAGCACCATCACTGTGTAGATCATGATATTATCAGCTACCTAGGTCTCCATGTAAATCCATGTACATGGCCACACTCAGAAAAACATCATTACCATGTTAGTATCACTGCTGAGCTGAGAATGGCCCACCATCCAAATAATATCTGGTGAATGGCGCTCTTATGGTCCCTTTTCATTGATGTTTGAAGTAAAGCACCATTGTCAAATTAAGCAATAAGTAATTGTTTACCTACAAAGTGACCTATATAGTAGGTGAACCTGATAAAATGGCCAATGAGTTTAGGTACAAAATAGGTGCATGTTTAACTGATTAATCTGCTTTCTACCTGATTCCTTATTATATACAGTAAATCACATCACCACTTCATATCTGATTCCATATTAGATAAATCACAATTTAATATCATACATTGTAGATTCTAGTCCATATTATCTACTGCACGTCATCACCATGTCTCACCATGTTGTAAATGGAAATATTTGGATTGACCAATCTGGATTAACCAAAAAGCATTTTTTACACTGAACATGCTTATTTATGTAATGGCATTGAATTTTATTAACATACAAATGTGTTCCATTTTAAGGTGAAGGATGCATTCCCTTTGAATATGAAGTCCAATTGTAGACACAGGACAAGAGTAGGACGAAGGAAAAAAATAGTGCCAGGCTGCATGATGGACTGTATAAAAGTTATTAAGGTAAGATTCTCATTGTCGAGTGGCTTTATAATGGCAATGCTAATAACTAATCCATAGTTTGGTGAAAATTTTAATTTACATAATCCTCAACACCAGTTAAGACACATTTGGTGTCTGACGTTTTGCTTGTTTAGTTTTGCACTGGCATTTTTGAGGCCAATCTAGCAGGTAATGGAAGCCTATCTCACCCAAAAACTTTTTTAGAAATCAATAAATGCATACTCAAGTCTTCATATACAGTACTTGCTTGAAATGACATCATTAAGCTATGCAATCTTGTTTCTATGTAATCTTGTGAATTTTATACATTTTAAATTCAAAGTGTGTTCTTCTTTCGGCTGCTCCCGTTAGGGGTTGCCACCGTGGATCATTGGTTCGCATATTTGATTTTTGCACAGTTTTTACGGCGGATGCCCTTCCTGACACAACCCTCCCCAGTTTTATCCGGGCTTGGGACCGGCGCTGAGAGCGCACTGTTGCATGCAACCCCAGTTGCTGGGGTAGGTTCCCTGGCTGGGAATTGAACCCAGGCCACAGCAAGAGCGTGTGGCCTAACCACTAGTCCTCCAGGAACCAAAGTGGATCTATAGTGTCATCTACATAAAATCTAGCTTCTACCAGTTTCCACCAAAACCCTTTGTAGATTCTTTAGAAAATAGTGCAAATTAGATGTTTTTCCTCAAAACTATATCTTTAACATGTGTTTGCAGTGATGATCGATTTGACCATATTAAAAGACAAATGTAAATGTACACAGCACACATTGCAAATGGAAAGTGATTGGCTCATCCTCCAGAGATCATCAGAGATAGTGAGATAGGTAAAAGGTGGTTCCCCACAGAAAACATCATCAGGTTATTTTTAAAAAGCACTAAAAAGAGCACCTCCATAATATGACTCTAGTTCTATTGTAATAGGTGAAAATACAGTTTGCTGTCATTTATTTTGCCACCAAACAGAAAACCCCTTCCTTGGCAGAGGAAAAGTAAATACTGGCTGTACAATAGAATAATATCTGGAGATTCAACTCCTGCTGTGCTGACAGGTGGTTGACTTCCCACACTGTACATAGATAGTGTATATGCATATTGCCCAGGAGAACTGAGATCAAACCATTGTTTATACAGATATCAATATCTAGGTACAAATCACATGTTAACCCAAGATATATATGGGAACATGTGTTTCTCAAAGGATCATGCCTGCTGCCCAGGATACTTTGGACGTGACTGTTTTAAATGCCCTGGAACTGTGGACAACTGGTGCTCGAACAATGGCAAATGCCAGGATGGCCTTTGGGGCAGTGGGGAGTGTCTGTGTAATGAAGGGTTTCACGGCACAGCGTGTGAAATGTGTGAGCCTGGAAGATATGGCAAAGACTGCAAATCAGGTAACATCATTATATGCTCTCACTTCCGTCATTTTATAGACAGTGGTCATTCAGTCCTAGTAAACAGAAGTATGTGGGTTTAAGTCCCAAAGAATACTATGGTTGCACTCTTGAGTGCTTTGTAATTTTCTTCTTTGTCTGTTGTTGTTCATGTTTCTTATTGTTGCCCTCAAGGAGAAAAGAAATTTAACCATTGATTAGTGTTAATTTTGACAGCTGATCTGGATTTCAGTCACCTTTGTAAAGTAAGTGTAGGAAGATTGGGGAGGGAACATTTCACATTCCAGTTTGAGACATTTTGTCTCATAAAATATCATTACATTTCTTGTGTATTGGGCAGGTTTATGGCAAAGTGTTAGTGTAATTACTTATTGGAGAAACTGAAGAATATATTCTTCCTCTTCACATGGCTTGTGGCTATTTAGTATGTATGCAAAAAGATTACTTAGTGAATATACACTGGTTAACTAAAATGTCAGGGCCAGGACTCAAATGCTGGTCTGCAGTGAGACAGTCAGACACTCTACCAGTGAGCCACAGAGAGGTGATGAGGTCAAGTGCAGAGATGGGCTCAAACAGGGTGCAAGTTCAAAAGTATTTAATAAGTCCAAAATCCCAAAAATGCAAACAGAAAAAGGGCAAAAACAAGAAACAAAGGTTATCCACAGAGTTCATCTGTGAAGAAATTAACAGCACAAAAAACTCCTCAAAGAGGTGCTCCAACAAAAGAGTTTCTCAAAAGGAAAACAACAGTGACAAAAAAAAGTTTGCTACAACAGTCAAGGAAACCCAGGGAAACTTACTCAAGCCATGAAGGGCTGGCAACATTAAACAGCAAGCCACAAAACTAAGGAACAGGGCAACTTAAATATACATGGGGAAATTGGACACTGGTGGCGGTAATGACAATTAACAAACAGAGAGAAAACAACATGGAAAACACAGCATAACCAGTCCAAACATAAAAAGCAACCCATATACTATGTGGGCCTCGTGTTGGTGGCATGATAAAAGGTGGCATTGACCCAACCCCCATTGTGTTTTACATAATAGGCTACTCTTAAGATTACACAAACTAGGAGTTATGCACTAATTGGTGAATGTATATCACCAATGGATGGGGAGAGTTCAAGAAAGCACCCAGTATCAGACTTGGCCTCTGTGTTGTTGTGACAAAAACATACTTGCTGGACACTCAATTGTCCTGTGTTACTACACAGCTGTCCATATACAAGAACTTTATCACTGATCAGAAGTGCAAATGCATTAGCAACCAGTTACATCCAAGTAGGGCTTTAGTTGTATTTCCTGATTCTAGTATCCTACTTCACCACTTTCCACTTTTTCACTAGCTTGTGAAAAGTCATGTATATTTTATTTTCCAGGTTTATGAAATGTCTATGATGATCTTGTTGTCCTTGTTTGTCTGTGAGCTGACTGCCACTCAATTATGAATTATGATAACTTTTGCAGTCTCTAGAGTAACTTTGATGTCTGGTTACATTTTCAAAAGTGGTAGTGAAGTTGTAAACCCCATGAAAAACTCTGCAATGTCCTGCTTTTATAGAGAAGGCTGATTTAAGTACCATACAAATTAAGCAAGAATACATATTTCTCTCATTTTAGAATGTCACTGTGAGCATGGAAAATGTCTGGATGGCATAGATGGTAATGGCCAGTGCATCTGCTACAAGGGTTGGAAAGGAGTGAACTGTTCTGTAGGTCAGTGCTGCAAATTCTATTAGAATATTTCAATAAATATACAATGATTTATATGTTATTAGTAATGTTTCTTGTTCAACCCCGGAAAATCTCCAATAAAGTAGCTTAATTTCATTTTTCAGAGATCGTTAATGATGAATGCGGAGGCATTTGTGATCAAAATGCCAAGTGAGTGCATAAGACAGCACACTGAATTATAATCTGCTCTCCATCATGTGCAGTTTTTGCTACTATGTGGTGCTAATGAAAACTGCTTGTTTGTGTCTGTATAACTTTTCTTTCAGCTGTTTTTCTCCGGGATCAGGAGTAAAACCAGCATGTATCTGTGCAGCGGGTTACCATGGAAACGGCACCTTCTGTCAAGGTCTTGTTTAAAAGAAAAAAATATTTTATTATTATGAGGAATAATGAGAACATGATGCATATATACACTGACTGACCACTTTAATAGGAACACCTGTACCACTGCTCATTCATGCAATTATCAATAATGTGGCAGCACCACAATTCAGACATAGGCCAAGAGCTCGAGTTAATATTCAAAAGAAATATCAGAATGGGGGAAAATGCTATTTCAGTGATTGGAAAAAGACAAGAAGATGTTTTTCTGTTCTTCACCTGTACAGTTTTGGTGGAATTTGATGTGGTAGCCCATCCACCTCAACATTTGTCATACTGTATATTCTGAGATGCTTTTCTGCTCACCACAGTGGAAAAAGTCCCTAGTCTCCCTAATTTATTGTTATCCAATTCCCACCCACCAGTCACGTCTCCCCTATCATACAACAGCTATAGCAACTGAGGAAAGTGAAAGCTATGATGCATCTCTTCAAACTGCTGCTCATGCTTTGTCACAGGGCAGAGTAACACATGTCAGAGAAAAGTGCTGTCTGCCCCTTTCTGCATGCATGAGCTCACAGATGCTTACAATTGGCTAGTGTCGCTGTGATTAACATGGGAGAGAGAGCTCTCCTATTAACATGCTCTCCGACCCAGAGAGCACTCCTGGCCACAGATGGCTGTGTCATTGCCAGGATTCAAACTCACAATCTCCGGACAATAGGGCAATCACTTGGGAACTAAAGAGTGATTATGTAAGTTACTGCAGCCTTCCTGTCAGCTCAAACCAGTCTACGCATTTTCCTCTGACCGGTGGAACTGCCACTCACTGGGTGTTTTTTTTTTGTTTTTTGCATCATTCTTTGTAAATTTTAGAGGCTGTTGTGTATAAAAAAGAGTTTGCTAGTTTCTGAAATACTCAAACCACATGATTGGTTAATTGCATGAATGTGAAGGTGTACGAAATAAGAACAGAGCATAGGAAACAACAAAGCTACGATCCTGTGGGACATCCTGATCCACCCAGATAAACAAGTAATAGCGAACCAGCCAGGCAGCCAGAGTAATAACAGATAAGGAGCAGAAAACCGCAGTGGTGAGAAATGTGGCAATCCCATATGAAAGTAATATCCAAATACGAGAAGTTACAGAAATACCAGGGAATGAAAAAGGAACTAGAGAATGTGGAAGATAAGATAAAAGATAGCTACATCAGTGACAGGAGCACTCAAGGCCATGAATAACAAGGGTGTTTACAAGAGTGAAATCCTGGAAAATCCTGTTTTACTTACCCATAACTGAATGATTTTTTTAAAAAATGTCAATTTATGTAGCTAACTTGCCCCACCTCCTGCCTCTATCCACATATTTGTAGCTTGTAGGTCTGGGGGCAACAGCAACAAAGCATTCAATTCTGGTGACTTTGGGAGTAGTTATTTATTTATCTATCTATCTATTAATTTTAATCATATTTTGTAACAAACATTAATGTAAGTATGTGCTGCATATCATTTCATTAGTTCAATTTTACATTTTATTTTACTGTAAAGGGATGTGCTAAAATTGCCTACATAAACTTTTTTAAGGTATAAAAACTGGTTACTGTTTGGGTGATGACAATGAAAACTCCATATTTTTATACCTTGGAACTCTGTTTTACCATGGTAATTTTTAAACAATTGCTAACAACATTAACTTCATCAATGCAAGTTTACATTTTATTTAATACTTGACCATACTTAATTTCTATTACAATTCCTGAAATAAATACACATAGGTATACACTCCATTCAAAACGACAAGAGAAGAAATGATGATGCTCTTCTCTCCCTCTGCCACCTATTGGAATGAAATAAGTTCATATATCCATCTGGATAAATAAAAATAAGCTAAGTAGATCCATCCTTCCATTTTCTGTGCTGCTTATCCTACACAGGGTTGTGGGGATCCTGGAGCCTGTCCTAGGGGACTTGGGGTACAAGGCAGGGGACACCCTGGACAGGGTGCTAGTCCATCACAGGGCACAATCACACACACACACACACACACACATTACAGACAATTTAGAGATGCCAATCAGCCTACAACACATGTCTTTTACTGGGGGAGGAAACTGTAGTAT